CTACACGAAAGTACATTAGAAATAAATCTTTGTGGACATGCTCCTTTTTGCACAACAAAGAAACAGACCTTTCTGTACCGGTAAGAGATGAAGTGGTGCACCAATCAAAATTACTAAATCAGTCCCTACCACATTAGCTTAAGAGATTTTCTCTCAAGTAAATCTGGCTGTTACATCATCCAGAGAAAAATGACAACATGTCCACAAGAAGGATTATCTTTAGTACTCAGTTATTGACCCTGAGATTGCACTGAGATTGCATTAGCTGTGTGTTGGAAAACTGAGACAAGTATGTCATACTGATAAAGAAGTTAAATCAATGTGGTCACGACACTAATAGTCATTGCAATATCACTACCTGAAAATCCCCTTCAGCTTTGCTGTGCTTATTTTATACCTCTAACCTCAATCCTGATTCCCTATAAAATACCTTCGTAAAACGAAGTAGACATTTTCTCCCCGCAGTGTATTGAGGAACGAGGGAAGTGAAGCAATGAGAAACCTGAGAACCGCATGCACATCTCCAACAGACATGCATCATGCATAGGGCAAAAAAACCAAGAGTGGAAATGTGTGAGGAGGAGATGGGAAGAAATCTGAAGTTGTACTGTACCACGCTTTATCACAGAAGTAATGGACTAACTTCTCAACTCCTTGCCAATGGCATAATGGGAAAGCAGAGACAAGAAAAAGACAAGGACAATGGTATCAGAGGACCAAGACAAAACAATGAGCAATTGCCATGACAGAACTGCAGCTTTTCACCATTTAAATTGCAATTTCCATGTCCCCCACTCATTTTTAATCTACCTGCCAGAAACAAAGGAAGCAATGGTGTTGAAATACTGCAGTACAAAAAATATTTATAGCAAGATCTGCACAGAATACCTTTGCTCTTGTAACTTGAAGTCTTTTAACACAGTTATCTCTTACACTTGAAATACTGTTTAGAGCTGTAACTAGAACTTGTGTGTAGCATTACAGCTGTATAAATCAAAAAAATTTGCGTCCAAGCACATACAGTTTTAGGTATCTAACAATGAACAACAATGTATTGTGTATCTTGGCCATATTGCCCATGCCTTTTAATACTCCATTTTCTAGGAACTCGTTCACCAGCTTTCTTTTTAGGAGAGGGCAGGGAGGAAGGGAAAAAAACGCTACTACATCAATTTTTAATTTTCTAGCTGTTCTGACATCCTTTATCTCACTGTCTTGTCACAGGATAAGCTGTCATTTCACAGGCCTTCGCTTGAAAGGACATCCCTGTTGAAAGGCCACACTGGAAAGCTCATTTTCTACCTCTGGAAAACACCTAGATTTCCCAACTTAATCAGCAGCATTTGTTGATACCTTCAGTTTGCTTTTTTTTTTTTTCTTTTCTGTTTTAGCTAGCTATATTATACCCATATTTCAACACTGCAAAACAGCATACCACATCATGGGCTAGTATTTATAGCAATAATACTAAACAACCCAATTTTTTTTTAAAGTACTTTTCATCACAGCATGGAGGTAAGTAAAATAATCAGTAATATGGTACAGCTTTTTTTTTTTTTTCTGCAGTCTGTATAGAAACCCCAACTTTCTTAAAAGAAAAATACTGTCTTCCTCAAATTAAAAAATTACTGAAAGTAATATATAACTACCATCAAGGCAGGCATTACATCTATAAATCAGATACATATGCAACAAACAGAAAAATGTGTAAAACACATGTAAAATTAAGCTTAGTCAGGTACAAGAGATATTTCTCCTGTAGTCCAATCTGAAACTACTCAACATGGGAGATGGGAGTTTTTTCTTTATGTAATGGTTCCAGGACACTTTTAGTAATTTGTCACTCTCTTAATATGAATCATAGAACTTCAAGATAATATTCTGAAGCAACTTCGTTCTGCTAACACCAACATCCTACAAAGAACAAAGAAGTAGTACCCTTGTTAAAAAAAAACACAACAAAAAAATATGTAAAAGCAAAGCCTGCACCTGATTTATATTTGGTGTGCATACAGCAGCTTTCTTGCTGGTGACAAAGCTACATGTGACCTGCTAGAATTGCTTACAGGACCTTTATTTGTAATGCTTACATACAAGAAGTCACCATGAAGTGCACAGTAAGCAGAGATGTGAACTGAAATACTTGAGTAATCAAGCAGCTTTCATCTGCATTTCCCTGTGGAGAAGCACTCCAAGCTAGGGGCCTACAGGGAGTGGTATAATATTTTATGACAAGAAGAGTTCATAATTGTTCATTGCCAATTTGCATTCTAAATTCTGTGTTTCTAGAGTTGCATCATTAAAGCTCCAGAATATGAAAGCAAACATTTCAAACTCTGTTGAAAGAAAGTTTGCTGTGTCATCAAATTGTATCCTATTATTAAGATTAAAATCAAGGAGCATTACATAAGAATTGAGTTCAAGACATACATTTCAGTTTTAAGAATAAGAAACATATAATTTTGTTCATAATATGACAAAAATCAAGATACTATTGGGAAAGTGTTTATGAAATATAAAATGCTGAATTATTTCCAAAGCTGTTGAAACAACATAAAGGTAATAAATGTAAAAGTACTAAAAATTAATTCTCATTAAAACATACATCCAACTCTAAAGCACATTACCAAAGTTCTTAGAGCAAGATAAGCAGTAGGTGCATTAACCTTGTCACTTTGTAACTGGTGTAATTAGAGAACTGTAACCATATGATAGTATTGTGGTACTTCGCAGTAGGGATAGAATATTACCTGTCCTGTTCAGCAGCAGTAAAATTATCTTACCATGTATAAATAACTAAATATGAACAGCTTACAGATTTTTGTCCTCATAATCTACAGTGCTTGTTAGTGTTCCATCTGATAATAACTACATTGGGAAAAAACCTGCAATATCCACAAGCATAGATATTTTAGGTTCAGGATGCAGAAGTTAGAGAAGAAATGCTTCAATTCCAAGATCTCCAAGCAGAAAACACAGCCAAGCAAAACCGAGACTGCTTTGTGTTCCCATCCCCTTCTCTATACTCTTGCAAAAGAATGCTAACATTGATTTTAAGGCTGTTTTCCTATTCTTGGTGGTGACACCCAGCTCATCACTTGCCTCAAAACCCCTCATTTAGCATTCTGTGCTATCTCAAAACCCATCAGACCTAAACCCCTTGATCCAAGGGACAAGGCAATGCAGGTAAATAAGGATGCTAGTGATAATTCTAATAATGTTCTGCATAATGGGATCCTTCACACAGACATACATAAATGATTTTGCAAGAAAGTGAAAGTGTCCAAGAAACGTCTTCATTTATACTGCATTTTTATTCTCAATATTTATCTTTTGATCAACCTAAGACTTTAAAAGAAAAATGCTAGGAATACTCAGTTACATGAAACATTTCTCTTCCTGAGCAATAGATTTATTATAGTTTTGGTTGATTAGTCAAAGGGTCAGTTTTCACCTACTTGATTTCCTTTACTAATAATAATTCATAGAATTTAATGTATAAGATGTGTGCTAAAAAATCCAACCTGCTTTAGTAATGGAAGTTTGCTATGGGATCCCTGAATAAGAAGCTGCTGCTATCAGTGAAGGAATGAAAAAGGGGGGGCTCAGGGAAATAAGATTAGCAAAGTTTTTTTCAGTTCAGCAATTGGTGTGAATGATGACATCAGAGGCACACATCTGGCAGCTCAGACATTAGCCTCCCATTCTGATTCTCTGTTCAGTAAGCCCCTAAAATGTGACATTTTTATGTTTCTGAGGTCTACAACTGATCTTTTTAAACTCAGGTGGTCTGCCGACAGGATAGCAAAATAGCCAGGCTGTGTTACTGCTGGCCCTCTCCAGAAAAAGACGACGTGATGATCAGCTTTAGGGGTGCTACATTCATTACACACACACAGTCCCACATCAAAGACCACAGAAAAATGAAGCACATCCCTCCATCGCATAGAGAAAAGCCTATCAAACAGGCTATGCATTCCTGATGAGTTGCTTAAATGAACATTGTCACAGAAACCTCAAGAGAGTATTTGAAACACAGTTTACAAAATAATTTACAATGTTTTTTTCTTGCAATTGGAATAAATTCAGATTATTGTAGTCTGAAATACATGTAAGCTTTGTTTTCCAAGGTGCAGCTTACTCTTCAGATCTCCACTGGCCCTGGAAATCTATCGTATGTTTCCATAATTTTACTTTCTCCTTTGTTTCTTGTCCAAATACACTCTTGGGCTTTGCTAGGCAAACACACTGTAATTCTCAAATTACAGTACGTTTTAGAATATAACTTTAGCTTTATGAACTAGTTATATTTCTTTGAACAACTATCTGTTCATAATGCAATACCAAAGCACAAAATAAGACTTACCATTTCTCTATGTCTACGTAAGCATACAGTTTTAAAATCAGCAATTGTCTTTTGTTTTGCAGATTGAAGCCAAGAGAACAAATGCATCTTACATCAGCCCACATTGTAGCTAGCACATAAGGAATGTTAATAAATCATGCAAGTTTTGCAACAGCCACTTCGATGTATTAGAAGCCTTTTTACAACAAATACTGAGAGAGGGGGAAAAAAAAAATTAGTTTGGGGGAAGCCATTCTGAAAAGTTAAGAAAACTTCTTGTGAGAGGCAATGAAAACAACACTTTCTCAGCAACGTTTTCATGTGTATTCACAGTGTATTTATGTATATACATCCACATACGCACACATGCAGACTTACGAGCAAACAGAACACATACACACACAGGATGGTATATTACAGCCATGAAAGAGAAAGGGAAAATGCAGCAAGCAAGATTAATGTTAAGACAAGACTGGAAACAAGGGCCTACTCAGGTTTGCCTGAAGAACTGCTGAAGTACATCAGCATTTAACAGCTGTTACAAAGCTACGAGTGGTAGCTGCTTATACACTGGCTGAAGGAAGCATTTTGGTTAGCCACAGACTATTGTGTATGCCTGTAAATCTGCCTGAGAAAGGAGGGTACTACAAGATGAACAGTGCGTGCAAAGGGGAAACTGCTACTGGAACATGGTGAGGGAGATGAGTGAGAGGTACAGACTCACTCTGTCTGCGGTGCGGTGGAACAGTCCGAGGGATGCCCTGGAATGAGCCCTGCCAGGGAGAGAAGGAGGGAGCAGAATACCCACCCTGTGCAGAAAGAGAGAGGGGGAGAAGTATAATAAAAAAAGAGAACAGGGAAAAAACAAGACACCAAAAAGCCACACCATTCTTTTTCTTTTTTCCCCCTCAGAAAGGTATCATTATATTTCCCAGTTGTTCTATTTGGTAACAGCAACAGCTAAACGCTAGAAAATCACAGAGGAAAAACTAAACTAGTCAGAAATCTTGCAAATACCTCAATTGTTATTCATTATATACACACACATTTCTGCTGAAGATGTTTTTAGGGGTAAAGTATAGGAGCTGAGCTTTGCATGTCAAAAATACATGCTAAAAATTGTGGTTTTACAGCTTTCAAGTATGTTTCAAAAATGCCTCCCCAAGCACTAAGTTGCATAATATTAAGACACTGGAACACCAGTCAGCTTTAGATTACAATGAAAAAAAATGTATGGCATAGAAACAGATTTTCTAGCAAATCCTGGTGCTTTAGAGTCCACTTCACTCATATTTTGATAGCACTATTAAATGTGAAAAAAGGAGTTCCAGACATCTGACTGTCTTCCTTCCACTTTGCTCTTGGAGCTTGAGCCTTTGGTTACAGGATCAGAGACCCGTGCACGTCAATGCCACGTGTGGTTTGCCTGTCAGACCTTTCCATTCACCACAAAAGTGACACACTGTGGGTGTCGCATTCTCAAAGCATGAGAGTAATTTAATGCAGTCTATCATTTTTTCCACTCCTTCACCTTTAAAATAAATCTATCCAGGCTGGAACTTCCCCCTTAAATCACATAATCTTGATTTCTTCTTATTTCAGTGAGACAGATCTAAGTTTGTAAAACCCCTTTTGCAGCTGAAAACTTCTGCTTCTATGAAATCCCATTCCTTTCGTTTCCCAGATACTGGAATTGTGAAACAGCAAAGGTATTCCAAAAGATAAGTGTTTCTAAATTTTAAACACCAGGCAAAACAAAAGGCTTAGGAATGGAAAAATAAGAGCAGCTAAATTAAAGCAGCCTACAAACCAGAACAAAAAGAATTATGTTCTTCAGAAATCCCGATTCATTGTGCAACTGCTGCTGAACATTTAATAAAGTTCTGACCCTGACTGCACTGGTAGATCTGTTCGGTTTGTTGTTGTTTTGTTGTTTTTTTTTAAAAAAAGATTACTATGAAGATATTATGGCCAGAGTTTTCCACTGCTATGAAGAGACCTCAACCTTAGAATAAGCAATCCCACAAACAAAGCAATTGCTTCTGCCAGAAAAGGACAAGTATTTCTAAACTATGCTAAATAGTAATTTTAGGCCAACACCCAAATATTCCAACTTTTTTTCCCCAGGATATACCAATATCCAAAACTGCTACTGTTTTAAAATATATTTTCTGCTGCAAAAAAACAAACACATGAAACGACTATTTTTATCCATACAGCTGGAGCCTCTGAGCACTCCAAAGAATTGGCGGTTTTTGCTGAATCCCTCCAAGCATTGCCAGTTGTCTCATATGAACTCAGAGCTCCACACCATGAACAAACCTAGAATGACATACTTCAAGCATCAACACAAAAAAAATGTTTTTACAGCAGCCTCATCTTGCCAGCCCAGCACCCGGCCAGAGAGATTACAAATGAACAGTTCTGACAGGCACTGCTCTTCTTGAAAGCATTCAGGTGAAAAAAAATAAATAGTCTTACGTGCTGGATTACACTAAACCAGAAATAATTGCCTGTGAAAGGTTTAAAGAATCTCTCTTCTGTGCATTTTCCCACATATTACACACTGTTACTGCAGGAGAGTAAGAAACATGCACAACACTACTTAGTCCAGCCATGGTTCTTTCTCACCAAGAATGTACATTATAATGGATCAGCAAGTGAACAGCAGAGCATTGGACAACAAGAGAAATCTGGGCTGAATGCAAAGATAAACACTAAAATAGTGACCTGGAAGCTTAAATTCATAGCTGCAGAATCAAAGGATATAGAAATGTTAAAGCTAAGGTGGAAGGAGATACTCAGACAGCAGTACCCAACCACAGTGGAAGTATTAGGAAGGCTTATCAAAACAACTGATGTGAAAGGGTTTGGAAGGACGGAGTGGAACAATATTCAGATGGAAGGCAAAGAGTACATCTCAGCACAGAAGCAGAGATGTAGCAAAGAACAAGATTATGCATGATCCCAGGCAAACTGAGTTTCTTGTTGTCATTTTGCCAGAGACAAGAAGGAATTTGTACACATTTGGAAAGCAAAACTTATTCTCACCACCATGTACTATCTACTGTACACTAAATACTGTTGCAGGGCATGGAAAAGCACCCATGAACTAGGAGTTGTATTGTGCTAAGGAACCAGGGGCCACAATCCTTTACAGACATCATCCAGATACAGGCTTTGCTTGCTTGTCTTCTACTGCTCAGTATGTGCAAACAACCTTTCCAGTTTGAGAAGCCAAATAACATCAATATAAACTTGATATCTAACCCCTTTACCCTCAGAATATTTTAAAGCATTTAGCATTACAGAAACAATGCTGCAAAGCCTGAGAGACAATTGTGGCAATGGATGCTTGCATTTTTCTTCTTTGTAAGCTTTGTCCATCAACATTAATTTCTTCAGGTAATGTAATATTCAGTACATTCTTTCAGGTTTTGGTTTTGTGGTCGGTTTGTTTGGCATTGGGTGTTTTGTTGTTTGTTTTTTGTTTGGTTGGTTTTGTTTGTTTGGTTTTGGTTTTTTTGGGGGGTTGTTTGTTTGTTTCCCCATGATAGTTAATTGATAGGCATAGATTAACTGGAAATGTAAGAGATCTATGAGAAATTCTTCTAGAAATGTGACTGTCTACCCTGTCAGTGAATACTTGTACAAGGCTTGGAGACTGCTAACCAAAAATGTTTCCTTCAAAGTGGTCTTTGTCTGTACAAATACTCAGAAATTACATACTGTGATTTTGAGCAGACTGTCAGGACACTGCTTGCAAGAAACACCATATAGCAGCACAGGGGTGAGGCAATAGGTTGGTTCTTAATGCTCAATTTTCAAAACATTTATTTTTAGCCACTAGGTTTTATTACATGAAATAGTAAAGGATTAACTTAGAGTTACATAGTTTCCATTTATGTACATACCTATCTTTAAATAGTAAAAAAACCTCAAGAGTACTTTCAAATGCTGTGTGATCTTTAAAGAGAATAAAAACAGAGAAGTTTATAATCACATCAGGATGGGCCCTTTTCTAAAAATATCTGGTAATAAAGAAAAAAATGATAAGAACATGACTTTCTAAAATATTCACTTGCCTATTTACTGGGAGGACTATGAAGTGATCAGAAATACCAGCCATTTTAAATGGGTAATAAACCTGCAATAAACTACTGCCATTCATACAGTCTTAAATTTCTAATTGAAATCTTTTAATAGCCAATTTCCACTCTCACTATTTCCTAGTTTATTCTAGCATCTGTTCTTTGTGAAACATTACTTAAACTATTAACTAAGAGCATTTCTGGAAGCATTTAAACTATTTCTTAAAACTGTGTGTTCCTAGACTGCTATTTTTGCTTCAGGAATGAACATACAGTATCAGTTCTGATAGAATTTGTAAACTGTCAGAATAATTTGGAAGTGAAAGTAACTTCCTGATATTCACCGTCAAGTGACAAACAGGTTAACACAGGAAAAAAGGAAACAATAAAATATTCATTAACTTTGGTAAATATTAACAAGCTTAAAGTAGCAAAAAAACTTTTTATGTCTCAAAGGAGCTGTACGCTCATTGCCAAGTTTTCAATTATAATTTAGTCTTTAAAAATCGTAGTCTATATAAAAACTTAATTTCATAAACATGGCCTATGATTCATACCACGTTTAGAACCAATAGATCTGATTTCTCCCAGCCTGCACTCTCAGTTCAAAGCAATATATTAAACTGAAGAGGAATGTTAATAAAGCAAAACAATATATAAGACCTTTTTTAGTAAGAACACATTTTACTCATGTCTCCTGCCATTTCAATTTATCATACTCCTGCCTCAAGAAAATAGAGCCAATTGTCTCCCCTTTCTTTTGCAAGTGACAGTTTAAGTCACTGGGCTCCAGATCAACAATGACTTCATGCCAAAGCTTTTTCCACATTTGTACTCCTCTTAGTCCATGCAAGGAAGCACATAAATGCCTGTTAGCAGTGCAGCTATTAAACCAGAAAGTTAAGGTCTGATCATTACACCTGGAACTCTGTTTACAACAGCAAGTCTATCATCCCCCTTTAAGAAATCCCACCTTAAGGAGCTCCAAAATGTTAAAATACATGCAAAGAAGAAGACATTCAAAAATACATTCTGTACACACACCCAATCATTAGTACAGCAGAGGTCTTTCTTTTTTTAAATTATACCCCTTAACTCTAATTTCCTTATCACAAAAAAAGAGTGTATTTTTGAACAAACCTTCTGAATAACTTAGTAGAAATATAATTCAACCAGAACAAAACCACAGAATTTGAATAAATTACTACTTTTACCTGAGACATCAATTCACATTCGCCATCTTCTCCAATATCTTTGTGTTAACAATACCACACCTTGCTCAAACTAAACTTTTGCAGTTAGCAACTAACTTTCAATAGTTACTAATTTGTCTCTGAATTTATGTGGAAAATGATAGGGAAAAAAAGGAACATGGAAACAACAATAGCCATAAACCCAGTGATAGTAAGTATCAAAGCACAAAAACATCACAGAAACGTCACAGATAGGAAATGAAATGGGAAACAGAAACAATACAAGAGCTCAAAAGCTACAAAGTAACAAGAAAAGAGAAACAAAGGATAAATGTCACAGACATTACACATACTTTCTGGAACGGAGCTGTCAGAGCAAACTAAGAGCTGATTAATGATGGTCTCTTTAAACTGGGTTGTTATCAGACAGAAGGTGGCTGGGAACCAGGGTCTCAACAGGATAAAGCTGATTGCTAACAACTGCTGAACATAGTGTGGTGGCATTTCTGTCCTTGCACTATACATACAAAAGGGTGAGTTTAGAAGGATAGCAGGGGTCTTTACTAAAATCTTATATCAAGCAAATCAAGGCAGGGTATAAACAAAGGAATAAGAAATCTAAGACCTTTTTTAATCTTTAGAAGAAATCTCTTAAGATATTTTAGCTAGAACTGCAGATCCAAGATTCAGAGTCTTTGCTAATGACTGACAAAAGTCTTGTTCAAAGATAACTCCTTATTATTATATAATATCAAATATGTTGTCTCTCCCCCATCTTAAGTATTCTGCTAGAGTTCCATGAAGAATCTAAGTTAAATACAATGAAACAAAAAGTGATCCATGCAACATCATGTGGGAATGAAGATGTCCTTTGTCAAAGTGATTTTCACCCAATATTTTTTTTAATATGTCAAAATCTTCAAATAAATTATTAATAATAAATAAACTTTTGTTTTTACATTTATGAAACTTGGAACACTGTTGCTTTCCTTAACAAATATGAAAGCAGCAACAACATTTTAACCAGGAAGAAACCACAACTATAGATAGCTAAGATTTAAAAGTCAGGATAAAGGAAAATACCTTACATATAATTAAATATACAGCTTGACCTGTCTGTAACCTAAAAAGTACAGAAGGTGATCATTTTAAGAACAGATTTCTAAAATTTAATTACTTATGTCTGAAGAAATGTTTGTAATACATGTTTATATAAAAGGGTTACAAAAGAGCCCAGAGGATGCACAGCATGAAGGATACTGCTCTCACACACAGCACAGAATCTCTTACCCAAAGCCAACCTGTATGACAGCAAATGCCATAGAACTGGGGAATGAAATGCAGAAAGTCATACCCGAGAAAGAATGGCACATTTTACTCACAGAACTCCTCCTCCAGGAGGTTTGGGTAAATTTATCAGCGTTCATACACGTTGTCCCTGCAGGTTTTTGACTGTCTTTCTGGCAGTTACATCTAGTGGCCTTAATCCCCCCAAAAGAAAAACAAGATTTTGTTAGAAAATAACTAAGACACTTGAAAAGCATAGTCAAGGCCAATGTTCAAACATCACCCGTTACTTGGCAGTATAGCACAATACAATTAAACTACAGAAACTTCTATTTACAGAGCTGCACAACTGCTTCTCTTCCCAAGGCATATCTAGAAATAGTTTAGAATAAATGTTGGATTTTGGAAAGGGTTTTTGATTAACTTATATTTATGAAGCAACACATTCTCTACTTCACCTTTCAGTAAGTCCAAAAGTAAGTTCTACCCATCTTTACAGCATAGTTCCTTAGCTGCAGCAAAACTTTCAGTTTCTGCAGTAATCAGGTATACTTCCTACCAGGGGGATAGATTTCCTTCTGGAAATCTTTGAAAGCTGATAGTGAGACTAAGCATACTGAAAAATCAACAGCTAATGCAAAATACTCAGATTTTTATTTTATTTTTTATATTCTGAGATCTGGAATTCCGTTGTTTAAATGGAGCAAAAAGCCAAATCTCAATTTTTTATAGGGGGAATGATCACATGGTAAACAAGGAGAGCAGAAAGACCATAGGTCAGTTTCAGTGCACATATGTATAAAAGCACATGCTAAACATTTAATTAGTCACACAAAACTGTTCTCAGCTATGATAAATATCATGGTATGCACCTCTTTGCATCTCATCTACCCTACTTCTCAGATTTTATTGTGGCTTGAAAACTTGGGGCTATTTTACAAGACTTGTCACAGCAGATGAGTTTACCAGAACCAAACATAGAGATGGCAAAATCCAAAGTTACCTTAGAACAAGAGCAAAAAGTGAAAAAGTGTGCATTACTTTTGCCTGAGGACTTGTGTTCACCTGAACTTGATTAGTGATAAAAGTGCTCCCATAACTTCTGTTTTGCCAATTTCATCTTACTATTCTATATGCTTTTTTTGTTTAAAAAAAAAAAAAATCAACTTTGAATAGTACCTTGCTTGACTTTAAATTTTATGGTAGAATTCCTTATTAAGCTAATGGACTATAGAGGAAAGGAGAGGGAGAAAAATACCTACCAAAAAATGTCAAGTAGAATGATAAGCCTGATACTTGTTATTTTTTAAATACTTTAAGCATAAATTACCTTATTCTGCTAATTGTTCTTTCTGAACAGCTCCTAGAATTTCATGTTCAAAGTGTGTGTTTTGGAAATGAAATGTATTAAACAATGGTCTCAACATCCTTACTCAGTGCCACACATACAAAACACAACTTGCCTACAGAATTAAATATCCCTGGTGTACAGCTACAAACACATAACAGCAGGTATAATCGCTAAAGGATCCATTACAGACTCACGAGTCAGGTGGATCTAAACAAAAGCC